CCTATATCCTGTCAGATTTGGTCTGGATTTGAATTTGTTAGTTGTCTAGCTTGGGGCCTGGAAAAATATTCTTATTACTTCCTGAAAAACTTCAATCTGGTGTTTCTGTTCTGAGGACGAATGTTTCCTGTCTATTTTCTAGTTGATCGGCCGGCCTGTGATGGTTCCTTACTGGTCTTTGGGCTTCCAGCTGTGTCGCTATGGATACCAGAACGACTCTGAGATCGCCAGCTTGTATGAAGAGATGGTGGCCGCCCAGATCCCTTATGTACGTTCTCAGTCATGGCTCTGGAGTTTGAAAACTAGCCCAGTGCCTCTGTGTCTGGGTTCATTTGTCTAATGTTTGTGGGATTCTATAAAGACATAACATTCTTTTTCAGACAATATCACAGTTAGCCTCACCCCAGCATGGTAATACAGGTAAGGGACTTTGTTTCCATCTTCTAGAGGTGGTATAGCTTAAGACTCACCATGATTTGCCAAAGGACAGGGAGATAGGCTGGCTCCAGGGCTCTTTCTTCCACCTCATGCTTCCTTCCATTTCTTTGACATGACTTCCAAACCTTAGTCAAAACATCCTTTGTTCCATAAGAATAAATGATATACCTCAGTTCTTTTACTTAATTCTTGAAAAGAAAAACTAACTGCAAACAGTCAGACCATTGTATATGTGGATATGACATCAGTTCCTGCAGCTCTGGTGCTGTAACTCAGTGTCCCATCATCTCTGAGTTAATCACTGATGGATGACACAGATCCTGGGATGGGTTTTCAGAGGATGTACATATGGAAATAAACCTTATCCTTCACTGGCGGATGGGAGGGGAACCAGTTATCAAAGAATTGACCCCATGAACCATAGCATATTTAATTTCATTCTACTTTTCTACTGTTTACAATAGTTCCATTAGTGGAACATAGTGTTTCCATTAGTGGATAGTGAAATGCAATATTTCATTCTCCCGAATAAGGTTGTGTCTGATCACCCTCAAGATTGGGTATTCCAAAGCTACTATACATTGTTGCTTTGTTTTGTTTTGCAGTAGATTTGCCATCCATGTTGTATTAGCCCTGGGAAGTTAACAGAATTTTTTCTAAACATGAACCTCTGATACCAGGGGCAGCCTCTTGGAGGAGGTCATCACAATCACGCCTGTTAGTGGCAGTTTACAAAGCACTTTCCAATCCTTGTTAATTTATGTATCCTAAGAATAGCCACGCTAGAGAGGCATTCTCATCCTATTTGGTACAGGCTTAGATTTTTTTTTTCTAGTTTATCACTGAAAATTTGAAAAGTTGAGTGAATTTCCCAGAAGCTATACCAAACACATGGCAGAGCTGGGTTTTGAAAGCATGTACAAGAAGCTGTCTGAAATACAGCAGCCACTCACTTCCCGTGTCCTCCCGCAGGACGTGCAGTACTCAGACATCGACTACATGGAGCGGCAGCTGGACTTCACCCTCAGCCCCAAGTTTGCTGGGTTTCCAGCTCTGATCAATCGCATGAAGGCTGACGGGATGCGGGTCATCCTCATTCTGGTTAGTCCTGATGTGAATGTGTGCATTCTGTTTGGGAGCAGGTATGGGCTTTGGTGGAGAGAGCTTTGTTTCCATGTTACAAGTAGTTACATTGAAGCTCTAGAAGAAACATGTATTTCCCAGGACTCTCAGAAACTCTACAGTTCAGGTAGAAGCTAGGGAGTTCCCTGGAGGAGTTCTCTTTTATTCTGTTTCTCCTCATTCTCTGGCTTTGGTTTTCCCAACTGACTTATGCTTTGATTTCAGGATCCAGCCATTTCTGGCAATGAGACACAGCCCTATCCTGCCTTCACTCGGGGCATGGAGGATGACGTCTTCATCAAATACCCAAATGATGGAGACATTGTCTGGGGAAAGGTATAATCTGAGCGACAATCCACTGATCCCTAACCTGAGGGTGGGTCGCTGTTAGTGGGTCACATGCCTATGTATGTCATTTTTGGCTTTTTCTATTTGGGTTCTGAGGTCAGAAGCTCTCATTTTCTCAATCCATATTTGTTGATACAGTTAATGACTTTTAAAGTAATGTGATGCATTAGGGAATTCACTTTTCTTTTATGTCAATCTTACATGATGATCAAAGTATTATTGCTGTTAGGAACATGGTTTATATAATAATTTCTCAGGAAATTCTCTGTAAGGGAACTGTCTAGTGCATTGCTGCTGAACATGTTTCTCTCCACAGGTCTGGCCTGATTTTCCTGATGTTGTTGTGAATGGGTCTCTAGACTGGGACAGTCAAGTGGAGGTAAAAGGGTCTTTGCAGATTTGGGTGGAGTCCGGGTTTCTAGAAAGGGGCAGCCGTACCTGTGATTCTGGACATGCCTGGACCATGAACATTAGCTTGGCAAGGGGGAAACACTTAGGGGATGTTTCTTGGGTGTCAGCCTGTGTGCCCATTACTTTATATGTAGTAATATTTTACTGCCCACTGGGATGTAGATATGTATTATTATCCTTGGGATTTAAGATCAGAGAGCTCAAATTACTTGTCCACAGTTTTAGGTGACAGAGTGGTGATTTCAGTTCCAAGGCTGTCAGATTCCAAAGACCCAAGAAATTTCCACTGGGGAATACCTCCGAGAAGTTCCATCTTTTCTCTGAACTAGTATACTTATTGTTGCTGTGCTGGGCATCCCTTCTAAGCAGTCTTCAACCCTTGAAGACTGATTAGGTCTTTTGCCTTGTACATCTTCCCCCCCCCCCTTGAACAAGTTTCTCCATCTTCACACTTACCAGTCCTCCCCTGAACCCCATCCTTCCTTCGGTTTCTCAACTTTGCTTTTACCTGTCAGTTTCCAGCCTTACTGTAAAACTTGCTCTTTCCTGAGAACAGTTTGTAGCTTGTAATGGATTCAGGTAGCTCATGCTTCTGGACCTGAATTATTTTCCAGATTAATTAAGCATTTCTTGCCTGAAAGAATACATGGCTCCTTACTGGTCTAGAAAGCCTACAGCGCCATCCTCTGGCCAAGATGTGTGTCTCCTGAACTGATGCAGCCTGTATGGTTGACTATCCATGGTTGTGGCAGTACCCACAGGCAGGGTTCTCAGGGTGGGGCTGAGGAGCTCCTGGAGAGCAAGTATCTGCCTGACCTCTTGAGCTGTTCTTCAATAATGGTTATTCTTTCTGGGTGGGAAGTGTAGCAGGGCCTGTGTAGCCTATGTGACCTCCACAGAAGAGCTGAGTAGACAAGGAAAAGGCTTATTTCTAGGACATCTTCCAGGAATTGAAGGGACGAAGAAGCTGGCCTGTGCAGTCAGCAATGTGGTATATGTTGTAGTGTCTAGGTACTCTGTCAAGATCAAGTATTGATCAGACAAATATCCATATTGTGGAAACAAATCCTGGCAGTTGTAAATTCAGGTAGCAGCCACTCAGAAGCCCAGGGTGAAGACCTCTTTTGGGAGTTCTCTCTATGTAATGTAAGATCGTAGTCCGTGGACAGAGGTGCAGGAGAAACATTCCAGTCACCAGGAATGTGACTGGCAGGGGTCAGGCCAAATATTCCTGCCTTATCCAGATAAGTTGGTTTTCAGGTCAAATGGTGAGTCCTAAAGGGAAAGGCTGATATTAGACAGAAGCTCACAATGTGGAGTCTGAGGCTGAGGCCTGGGACAGCTCCAATGGGGTAGTGAGCACAGAGGGCACTGCATGCCAGTGATGCGTAGTTCTCTGGTGTCAGTCTCTGACCTCCTGGATCCCAGAGCAAGTTGGCAGCAGTAGCACTCTTGATTTAAAATGCGACACACTTGGAACCAGGCTGCTTGACTGTTGGACTGTATGCCTTTATTTACTGTCAGTAGATTCAGTAAAACGAAAGGAAGAAAGCAGAAGCTGGGGCAGGCTTTGAAGATTGGCAAGAATGATTCAAACTCAGTTCAAGGCTGTTTTCCTTTTGTCTACTATTGAACAAGTATCTATCTATCTATCAATCATCTATCTGTCAGTCAGTCTATCTCTCTGCCTATCTGCCTATCTTTTCTTTCTTTCCTTCCTTCCTTTCTTTTCTTTCTTGCTCTCTTTGTTTCTCTTTTTCTTTCTTGCTTTCTGTCTATCTGCCAATCTATCTTCTATTTATCTATCTATATCTATGTATCTATATATCTATGTATGTATGTATCTCTCTTTCTGTTATCTACCATCTTTTGGTCTATCTATCTATCTATCTATCTACCTACCTACCTACCTACCTATTATCTATCTAGCTATCTGTGTATCTATTATCTGTTTTACTATCATCTTTCTGTATCTCTCTCTATCATCTGTCTAGCTAATCTATCATCTGTCTATACATCCATCCACTCTTTTCCTCTATCCCTCTGTCTATGCATTCATTCTATCTATTCTATCATCTGTTTATCTATTATCTGTCTACTTTCTGTATCTCTATTGTATATCTATCCGTTCGTTTGTCTATATCTATCAATTCATCACCTCACCCTGTCTATCCATATATCCATTCTATCTATCTATCATCTGTCTATCTTATCTATTTATCTCTCCATCTACCTACTCTCTGTCTATTCTATTCTATCTATCCATCTGTCTACTCTATCTGTCTATGTGTCTGTCTATGTATCTATCTATCTATCTATCTATCTGTCATCTATCAGATAAGTATTCAAGGGAGAAGACCTAGCTTCCTGTCCTCTCGTGACTTCTCACAGAAAATCACTTTTAAGCTTAGTGATCAAGCAGCCCACATGGACACAGGAACCTGCCCAGCTAGAGAAGCTCTGGGCCATGGGCTTCCTGAGTTTTATCAAGTAGTCAGTTACTACATTATGAACCCCGCAGCTCATCAGCCATTAGGGGCAACACTGCCATCCTGAGGCCATGTGGAAATCTGAAGGCAGTGTTGGTTATCACAGGGACGCCAAGTGGCATTTAATGGGCAGTGGGCAGGGATGCCCATAGCTCTGATTGCAGAGAATTTGCCACAAAAAATCTCTTGCCTCAAATGCCAGTTGGGCCTCTGATAAGAAACAGTTCATTAGGGGATGTCACAGAATCTTTTAGGTAGCTCATAAGAGACTCTTGGTAGATAGAATAATTATAACTATTAGGTTGGTGCCCAGGTAGTTTTTGCCATTACTTTTAATGGTAAAACTGCAATTACCTTTGTACCAACCTAATATTTATATTATTAATAGTAAGACCCACTTGACAAGGCTGGTGAGGATGGAGCCACTGTTGTCCAGGTCTGGCCTCACTGAGCATAAACAGCCAAGAAGCCTATGAAAAGCAGATTTCTGAGCCCAAAGCTCCAGCGATTTGATTCAATCAGTCTGTGGTAGGATCTAGGAATTGCATTTTGTAGCATGCAGTGTGCTACAAAAAGAGTGCTAAGTGGTCCCGAGGCCCAGTGTGTGGGTGGGTACATCACTGTGTGAAGACTGGAGAAAGTGAAGGCAGAAACCACAAAGGCAACACTTGAATATGGACAGGTGTAAGGCAAGCCAGCACCTTGGAGAATGGCAGAACATTTTTATTGATTGGTAGGGGTCATCTGAGCAGTGCTTAGGGAAGTTCATACATCACTGCTGGCCAGGCTCCCCATGTGCATCCCATATGGGATACAATTCTGACTCAGATGTGGCCGGTACTCTAACTCTCCATCGCCCACCCATCCCATTGTTTCTAACCCTGTATGATCTGGAGCTCTCTGTTTCTGGTGAAAGGTTCTCTTTGTCAGGTTTCATGGTTTCTACCTCCATTTCCTAACAACGGGCACCCCTGGCACGGCCCTTAAGATTCTCCATGATGTAACCCACTATCTTCTCACATCCCTGACAGGCAGACCCATGTAGGCTGATCTGTTTCTGTTTCCTTATGCTCCCTTTTTGCCCCTTATCTAGGCATATCAATTCCTAATTGCCTTTTGTCTGTTGTGTATAAGAACTGGAGTTCCCCTAGACCAAGTTTGTTTTTTGTTGATTCCCCCACCCTCCTCACCAGCATTATTTAGCTCTTTAACTCTTACAATGCTATGATTAGCATAGAGGAGGCTATTTACTGAGACCTTTAAAGGACCATAATGTTCCGTAACAAACAACATGAGTATATAAAAATGTATGGATATTTATTTACTGCTTCTAGGTGGTGTGAACCCACTGTTAAACACTGTTTGTTTATTTTATGTTAGGTTCTAAACTAAGCATTGTGAAAAATGTAAATATCTCTCAGAAGAATATAAAACAAGGTTTTTATTCTCAAAAATCTACAATGTACTTGAGAAGTTGTACCTGACTGGGCACGGTGGCTCATGCCTGTAATCCCAGCACTTTGGGAGGCCAAGATGGGTGGATCGCTTGAGGTCAGGAGTTTGAAACCAGCCTAGCCAACATGGTGAAATCATGTCTCTAATAGAAACACAAAAATTAGCTGGGCGTGGTGGTGCATGCTTGTAATCCCAGGTACTCGGGAGGCTGAGGCAAAAGAATTGCTTGAACCTGGAAGGCAGAGGTTTCAGTGAGCTGAGGAAGCACACTACTGCACTCCAGCCTAGGTGACAGAGTGAGACTCTGTCTCAAAATACATATATATATATATATATATATATATATATATATATATATATATATATGTGTGTGTGTGTGTGTGTGTGTGTGTGTATCTTGCATCCATCTTTCAGGTTAACATAAAAACACTGCTTTTGTTATTCAAAGAAAGATGAAAGTAAGGGGAAGTTTAAACCCCCTCATTAAGTCCTCTCAATTTATGTTACACACAGCTGTAGTTTTCATGTGACTCTGAAACTGTAGAGAACACAGATGCATACTGGATAGTCTAATATCCTGAAATGTAATCTTATGCCTTCCTCCCCCCTCTTAGTGGGAGTGACCTAGGAGGGACTTTCTGAGTGTTTCTTCCCAGCCTATTACCATGCATCTGATGTCTGCAGTCTCTCTCTGGCTTTGTTTCTTTGAGGAGTGCTTAGAAAATGGCAGGACTAACATTTAGGGCTGGGCATCTAATGCACTAGGTCATGAGTTCCGGGCATTGATTATTGTCATCTAGGTCAATATGAAGAGAACAGTTTTTGGATGTTTTCCAAATGCTGGGGAGGTGTGCAAATAGCACTAATTTCTCTTTTCATTCTGCATTCCTCTAATAAGCCAGTAACATTATTTAGGCCCTGTTCAGGCCATCCATCACCACGTAGTCCAGGTCTTTGTGTGAGCTGCATTCTCAGTAAGTGCCTGTTAGCTGTCGAATATATTTGTGTGGGACAAACTAATTATATTTATTTTTTATAGCTGTATCGAGCTTTTGTGGCTTTCCCAGACTTTTTCCGTAATTCAACTGCCAAGTGGTGGAAGAGGGAAATAGAAGAACTATACAACAATCCACAGAATCCAGAGAGGAGCTTGAAGTTTGATGGCGTGTGGATTGTAAGTGTGTGTGTGTACGTCTGTGTACCTGTGGCACTTGTGTATCTTTGTGTGCCTAAGTCTATGTACCACTGACCTTCAGTCAAGAGGATAATCATTGTCCAAGGAAGACTTTGGACATGTCAGACACTTCCTCCTCTCAGAGTGGAACAGCCCTGATAGCCTACACACCTTGTACTGGACCTGAAGTTCCTATAAAACCTCTGAGACAATTTACTAGGAATTTCTTGGAACTTTGATTGCCTCACACTCACCCTGAGAGAGTTTTTTGTTGTTGTTGTTTTTCAGATGGAGTCTTGCTCTGTCACCCAGGCTAGAGTGTGGTGGCAGGATCTTGGCTTCCTGCAACCTCCGCCTCCTGGGTTAGAGCAATTCTCCTGCCTTGGCCGCCTGAGTAGCTTGGATTACAGACACCCACCACCATGCCCAGCTAATTTTTTAATTTTTAATAGAGACAAGGTTTCACCATCTGGCCAAGTTGCTCTCAAACTCTTGAACTTGTGATCCACGCGCCTCGGCCTCCTAAAGTGCTGGGATTACTGGCGTGAGCCACTGCACCTGGCAGAGAGATTTTTTTTTTTTTTAATCCTTTAGCCAGTTGTTCTGTAGGGGTGAATTAATCTCTCTAGCTAGTTCTTACCAGGATTTGATGAACATCCCAGGGCTAACATCTACAGGGATTACTGGATGTTGAACAATTAATTCATTGCTTCCTTGTCTCAGAATTGGCAGGATGTAATTTTCTTAAAAAGTGAGGTATATCTGTGTTTGGCATTTCTAGGATATGAATGAACCATCGAGCTTCGTGAATGGGGCAGTTCATCCAGGCTGCAGGGATGCCTCTCTGAACCACCCTCCCTACATGCCATGTAAGAACCCTTGGCCTCCTTGATTGGCAGAGCCACGACAGAAAGGATGACCACTGCAGGAGCCCAGAGGCCACGGGTGTGCCCTGACAGCACATCCTCATGGCTGCTGTGGTTTACTGGGAACCAGAGACCAAAGCTCTGCACGTGCTTTAGCCAGCTGGGCATGTGCAAGTGACTAGACTCATAGAGCAAATTTCTCGAATCTGTCCAGAAAGCACCAACCAGTGCTCATGCCACCAAAAGTTTCTCACAGCTGGGTTTCTTAGTTTTTTAGGCTTATGTGAATCCATCACAGGAATTTCTTGTGTCATCAATAGGTGAAAATTATTGACTTGCCTTTATTGTGGAGCTGATGGGCTTTGAATTTATACTTGGTTCATATCTTGGCTCCAGAAGTGGTTTTTTTTCAGTGAATTGTGTGGCTTTTCACAAATTATGTGATATTTTCAAATCTCGGTTTGCTAAACTATAAAAGACAGATCATGATGTTTTCTTCATACAAGTATGATAAGAATTACATGAAATAATTGACATGTCAAAACCCTAAATCAAAGCCTGTCATGTTGTGTTTTACCACTGTCTGCTCTTTTTGACACCTCTGCTTTCTTCAGTCACATTGATGTTGAAAACACCATAGGTGCCATTGCGTCTCAGAGCTGGGGTCACTGTGCTGGTGTCTCTGGGAAGATGGAGAGTGACACATGCAGGGCTTAAGTTAGTCTTAAGATCCAGGGCCCAATCCGTTGAAGAGAGGTCAGGGATAAACAGAATCAGGGCTGATTTCACCTCACCAGATCTTCCTTCTCAGATTTGGAGTCCAGGGACAGGGGCCTGAGCAGCAAGACCCTGTGCATGGAGAGTCAGCAGATCCTCCCAGACGGCTCCCCCGTGCAGCACTACAACGTGCACAGCCTGTACGGGTGGTCCCAGACCAGACCCACATACGAGTGAGTGTGTGTCTCCCTTCTCCAGCTGTCACAATGTGTAAACATTGCCAGGACTAACGTAGTTACCCTACTTTTTCTTTCCTTCCTACTCTAAGGGTTAAGAAGATTCTCATGACAACTGTGTCATCATTCTTATTGATTAAACAAATGCTGGTTGACACAGAGCCAGGCCTTGTGATGAAAAGTAGTAGGACAGGTTTAAATAAAGCATGGTCCCAGCAGTGAGAAATGAATGATCCTAGCGGGAAAGACACATGGAGATACTGTAATGATCACACAGGGCGGCAGGTGCTGAAATACCTTTAGTTGCGGGAGGCAAAGGGAACACGGAGGATGGGGCATCTCTCCCTTTTATTTCAAAAGTGAATCATCTTTTGAGATATTTGTTCTTTGGCCATTCTTGGTGGAGAGTAACTGGTATTGTACTGAATTAGCACAGTCCTGCTTTGCAAGCTCAATGAATATTATGAATTCTTCTTAGGACAATCTTCTAATCTTTACTAAGTTCCTCCTCAAATATAGCACACTATATATTGAGTAAACCAATTGCAAGACTTAGTAATTCCTTACAATTTTGGGGTACTCCAGTGAGTTCACTATAGTGAAGTTCTTTGTAATGGACCGTAAAACACATGAATTGTTATCTCCACCATCTGGGATCAGTGGAGCCCCCATTACAGCTCAGATTCCCATGTTCCCTGCAATTACGCAGCAAACACTCACTAGGCTCAAGGGCTTTGGAAGGAGAAGCTCTATGGCCTGTGGTCCCTGGCTGTACTCTCAATTAGTCTCCTGTAACCCTCCAACCAGAGCCATGCAGGAGGTGACGGGACAGCGAGGAGTCGTCATCACCCGCTCCACATTTCCCTCTTCTGGCCGCTGGGCAGGACATTGGCTGGGAGACAACACGGCCGCGTGGGATCAGCTGAAGAAATCTATCATTGGTGCGTGGGTTCCTACCCAGGGCCTGTGCTGGCAGGTCAGGGAATTGGGATCCTTGGTCAAGAAGTGAGGAGGCAAGTGGTGAGAGCCTGGTCTGACACAGCTGTGGTTCTCATTGCAGGCATGATGGAGTTCAGCCTCTTTGGCATATCCTACGTGAGTGTCCTTGGGATCCTCTTAAGCACCAAGAAGATGGGGACATCCTTCACAAATCATCGGCAGGCTCATTTTATTTCCACTTGTTACAGACAGGAGCAGATATCTGTGGGTTCTTTCAAGACGCCGAATATGAGATGTGTGTTCGCTGGATGCAGCTGGGGGCCTTTTACCCCTTCTCAAGAAACCACAACACCATTGGGACCAGGGTAGGACAGTGGCTCCTAGCTCCAGAGTTTCACTTGAAGCAAAACCTCCATTTCTGAGCTAAAATTAATGCAGCCTGTATTTACTGGGATATCTTTGAAAAAAATTTTTCTTTTGAGACAGGGGTCAGTCTTTGGGCCAGGCTGGAGTGCAGTGACACAATTATGACTCTCTGTAGCCTTGACTTACAGGACTCAAGTGATTCTCCTACGTCAGCCACCCAAATAGCTGGGGCTACAGGCACATACCAACATGCCCAGCTAATTTTTGAACTTTTTGTAAACACAGAGTCTTGGCATGTAGCCCAGGTTGGTCTCAAAGTTCTTGGCTCAAGTGATCCGCTCACCTCAGCTTCCCAAACTGCTGAGATTACAGGTATGAGTCACTGTACCCAGCCCTTAAAAGTTGTTAAGCCTGGTGTCTCAGTGAACATTTCTCAGTGTTCTTTAGATTATTATTATTTTTTCTTTGTTTAGGCAGAATGGTAGCATATGTACCAAAAAGAAAGTCTTATAGTGACATTTTATCAGATGTCCTAGCAGAGCTTCAGTGACACCTTTTCTAGTCTATTAAGAATATTCTCTGGGCCTCATCAATAGTTATCTTTTGTTTAGCTCTGAGTGATGTTGATTTGGAATATGCTTTCAGTGACCTTCTTAAGTTCCCTAGGTTTTCCAGGATGAGCTCCCAATACTGTTCTTTTTCTCCTTTAGAGACAAGACCCTGTATCCTGGGATGCTGCTTTTGTGAATATTTCCAGAAATGTCCTGCAGACCAGATACACCCTGTTGCCATATCTCTATACCTTGATGCATAAGGCCCACACGGAGGGTGTCACTGTTGTTCGGCCTCTGCTCCATGAGTGAGTGTCTAGCAGGGATCCTGATGACAAATGGATAACTTACTGTATTCTATATGGTGGCAGTTGATAGACACAATTCTTCCAAATTAAACACATGATTGCCTTTGACAAGACCTCTTCTGGCATAGACCATACTTTATGATTCTCTTTAGCACAGTGTGATACATGTAATAGGTCATTAATAAAAGGCTATTTATTTAATGAAGAAATTGAAATGATGCAGTACAGCATAGAATAATCTCTTGAATTTGGCCGTGCTAAGGCCTGTCTATGTTTTGTAGCAGCTTGGTTATATGGACCTGGGTCACAAAAGAATGATTTCAGGAAGAGATTTGAGGGACAAGGGCCATTCTTACATTTAAAATGTTTCATTGTTTCTAGATTCATCTATATCTCTACAAAGGACATGAATTCGTTGTTTTTTATGGCTGCATAGTATTCCATGGTATATATGTGCCACATTTTCTTTGTCCAGTCTATCACTGATGGGCATTTGGGTTGGTTCCCGGTCTTTGGTATTGTAAACAGCACTGCAACAAACATACATGTGCATGTGTCTTTATAATAGAATGATTTATAATCCTTTGGGTATATACCCAGTAATGGGATTGCTGGGTCAAATGGAATTTCTATTTCTAGATCCTTGAGGAATTGCCACACTGTCTTCCACACTGGTTGAACTAACTTACACTCCCACCAACAGTGTAAAACTGTTCCTATTTCTCCACATCCTCTCCAGCATCTGTTGTCTCCAGATTTTTTAATCAACACCGTTCTAACTGGCAGGAGATGATATCTCAATGTGGTTTTGATTTGCATTTCTCTAATGCCCAGTGATGATAAGCATTTTTTCATATGTTTGTTGCCTGCATAAATGTCTTCTTATGAAAAGTGTCTATTCATATCCTTCACCCACTTTTGAATGCGTTTGTTTGTTTTTTTCTTATAAATCTATTTTAGTTATTTGTAGATTCTGGATATTAGCCCTTTGTCAAATGGGTAGGTTGCAAAAATTTTTTCCCATTCTGTTGGGAATAACAGTCTAATGATTGTTTCTTTTGCTGTGCAGAAGCTCTTAAGTTTAATTAGATTCCATTTGTCTATTTTGGCTTTTGTTGCCATTGCTTTTGATGTTTTAGTCATGAAGTCCTTGCCTATGCCAATGACCTGAATGGTGTTGCCTAGGATTTCTTCTAAGGTTTTTATGGTGGTAGTTCTCAGGTTTAAATCTTTAATCCATCTGGAGTTAATTTTTATATAAGGTGTAAGGAAGGGGTCCAGTTTTAGCTTCCTGCTTATGACTAGCTAGTTGCCCCAACACTTTTTATTAAACAGAGAATCCTTTCCCCATTGCTTGTTTTTGTCTGTTTTGTCAGTGATCAGATGCTTCTAGATGTGTGGCATTACTTTGGAGGCCTCTGTTCCATTCCATTTGTCTATATCTCTGTTTTGGTACCAGTGCCATGCGGTTTTTATTACCGTAGCCTTGTAGTATAGTTTTAAGTTAGGTAGCATGATGTCTCCAGCTTTGTTCTTTTTGCTTAGGATTGTCTTGCCTATGTGGGCTCTCTTTTGGTTCCATATGAAGTTTAAAGTGTTTTTTTCCAGTTCTGTGAAGAAGGTCAGTGATAGCTTGATGGGGATAGCATTGAATCTATAAATTACTTTGGGCAGTATGGTCATTTTCACAATATTGATTCTTCCTAACCATGAGCATGGAATGTTTTTCCATCTGTTTGTGTCCTCTCTTATTTCGTTGAGCAGTGGTTTATAGTTCTCCTTTCTTTTACATCCTTCGTTAGTTGTATTCTTAGGTATTTAATTCTCTTAGTAGCAGTTGTAAATGGGAGTTCACTCATGATTTGGCTCTCTGTTTGTCTGTTGTTGATATCTAGGAATGCTTGTGATTTCTACACATTGATTTTGTATTCTGAGACTTTGCTGAAGTTCCTTGTCAGCTTAAAGAGGTTTTGGTCTGAGATGACAGGGTATCTAAATATATGATCATGTTGTCTGCAAATAGGAACAGTTTGACTTCTTCTTTTCCTAACTGAATGCCCTTTATTTCATTTTCTTGCCTAATTGCTCTGGCTCTGACACAAGAACAGAAAACCAAACACTGCATGTTTTCACTCATAGGCAGGTGACGAACAATGAGAACACTTGGGCACAGGGAAGGGAACAACACTCACTGGAGTAGGGGGGGTGTGGGGGGGGGGGGGGGGGGGGGGACAGAGGAGGGTGGGGAGGTTGGGGAGGGATAACACCAGGAGAAATGCCTGAGGTAGGCGACGATGGGGATGGAGACAGCAAACCACCATGGCATGTATGTACCTGTGCAACAATCCTGCAAGATGCAGCATGTGAACATGTACCCTAGAGCCCAAAGTAAAAAAAAAAAAAAAAAAAAAAAAAGTGCCATGGTTAAGAAATGTAGTAAGTACTTGACAAAACACACCTACATCCGAGCATTTCATAATTTTGAGGCACATCACATGGGAAAGCAGAGACTGGATGCTCTGGATCAAGCCAGGCTTAGGAAAAAGGCAAGGATGGCTCAGGGGGGCAGCTGGATTTCCAACGTGGACCAGAAGTAGAGGAGCCTGTTCAGGGTCTTGGACTGGGTCTCTGTTGAGCCCTGATTGTGACACCTTCATTTCCCTTTCCAGGTTTGTGTCAGATCAGGTGACATGGGACATAGACAGTCAGTTCCTGCTGGGCCCAGCCTTCCTGGTTAGCCCCGTCCTGGAGCTCGTGAGTATGGAGGCCTCAGATCGGGGGAGGATCCCAGCTGTGAGGCTCGGGGAAAAGAAGGAGGAGAAGAGGCCTGAGTTGTGGGGTCCTACACATGGTTTCTTATTCTACCTCTGTCTCTTCCTCTCTTTGTGAGCCGAAGTCCATCACTTAGGTGTTCTGGGCCTCAGCTCTTTCATCTTTAAAACCGGCCTAACAGTTCTGGTTTATAGGATGATGAGGAACAAAACACCTCATGGTATATTCAATGATATAGTCATTTCTTTGTTAACTAAAATGAGAAATAGAAGGTCAGATGGGACAATAGTGTAAAGAATAATAAAATCCTCTAGCACTATTAAAACTTCTCAGAAGGATTACTTGGCAATGTGTGTACTCGTATTGCTGCTGGCTTACCTTTCCCTTCCTCCTGCAGGAGGTCCTCCCACCAGTAAAAGCTATTTCTTTGCTTCTGTTGTTGATTAGGCTTCTGAATACCAGTGGATTAGTCCTAAAATATCAGTTAATTGCATGTTCCCCAAATCTTATTGTACCCACAAGCTTTTTTCTGCTCCAGACAAAACCTCTGTTGTTTGTCTGTTTAAGGGTATATTGGGTAAGTTAATGTCTAAAAGTAAACAGTAATTATTTTTCCCAAAGTCCTGGATACCAAAGTACTTTATGATAGTTTTGTGTAGACAAATATCCCCTGCTTCAAAACCGGAAATGGAAGGAAGGTTTCCCCAACATTGTTAGCCTCCCGAGAGATGAGGCAAGTGGGCCCAAGGCCATCACTATGACTTTAACCTCTTTCCTAAGCCGTTTGGTTACTCTGTCCTGGATAATGGTGCCCACTGCCACTCCTTGTTTGTGTTTAATTTTAGAATGCCAGAAATGTCACCGCATATTTCCCTAGAGCCCGCTGGTACGATTACTACACGGTAAGTTTTTCTGAATGTCTGTACAACCTGGGAAAAGGATAGAGAATCCAGAGGCTTTAGATATGATAGACCTTAGGTCAAATGCTGGCTCTGTAACCACCTGCTGTGTGGTCTTAGAGATGTCACTTTAACCCTTGTAACGTGAGTTTTCTCACCTCCAAGTGGGGTAAGACCACTTCCCTCATAGATCCGTTATGAAATAATACATAAAGCATCTCACTTAGTATCTGTTTTGTTTGTTTGTTTGTTTTTGAGACGGAGTTTCGCTCTTGTTACCCAGGTTGGCGTGCAATGGCGTGATCTCAGCTCACCGCAACCTCCGCCTCCTGGGTTCAAGCAATTCTCCTGCCTCAGCCTCCTGAGTAGCTGGGACTACAGGCGTACGCCACTATGTCCAGCTAATTTTTGTATTTTTAGTAGAGATGGCATTGCACCATGCTGACCAGGATGGTCTCCATCTCTTGACCTCGTGATCCACCCACCTCAGCCCCCCAAAGTGCTGGAATTATAGGCGTGAGCCACCACACCCGACCAAGATCTGTTTTTTTGTGGGTGTTCTCTTTGTGTTAGATTTTAATATTTCCTTATATCACTGCTATTTACAATGTTGTGTAAAGGCAGATGCTAGCAAACATTTGAGATTATGTTGCAAACTGTAGTTTTTGTTTTTATTGTTTCTATCTTTGCCTGCTGTAAGTTTGTAAGCATAGAGGCCTTTTCGTCTCTGCCTTTTATTAACTATCTCCCTCCATAGCATAGATGCTCAAAGAAGGGTACTACACATAATTACCTAAGGTAAGCAGGTGATCAGGCAATGTGCAACACACACACAGAGGTATGGGGCCCAACCCTTGTGAGTCTAAGCAGTGCAAGTGCATTTAGAAATGAGGATGCAAGAAAGAGCTCCTTGCCACACCATTTCTGTGCTATTATGATCCCCAGGGACTTAGCTAGGAAGTCAGGGTCTTCTGGGGCAGCTCTGGGATGGTGGGGACCTGGAGAATGTAGACCCTGATTTTTGGGGAAGAATCAAAGGTGGCATTGCCTTGGTCTCTAACCAGGCCTCTTCTTCTGACTTTCTGAGGAGAATAAAGTTGAGGGCTAGAAATACAGCAAAGGGGTACAAGCAGGGAAACAAGAAGTAAGGAACATACTGGTCCCTTACATCCCAGAGGATTGCAGTGCGATTAGGTGAAAACTGGAGAAGGATGTGCAATTTTGTTGCTTCTCTTCTCAGTCAGTGGAGACCAAGTCCTCCCCGCCGCCCCAGCCTCCCCTTCCTGCTGCTAGTCTGGATCTGCCCTTTGGGTGGTAACATGTTAAGGCTCTGCTGTGTGCTTCCCAGCCAGGCCTTTCGTAGGAATGGGTGGCCAGCTCCCCTTCAGTGAGACTGGCCTTTGGCCTGAGGGTGCATGTTGACTCTCCCATTCACAGACAGAAGATATCTTTGATTGAAGAGGGAAAGACAAAATAAATCATGGAGCAGGCTGTTTAGAAAAAGATGAAATTTTGATGTTGAATTAAAATGAAGATGAATTTTATAGTTACGATTAATGAAGAAATGTCA